CCTTTTTTGTGGCTTATTCAAGTAAATCCAAAATTTCAGAGACATATGCATACAACAGGAACTTTATACTGCATAAAGAGCTGCTCATCCTAACCCATCCCACTGGAAATGACACTTTAATTCCAGACATAATGCATCAGTTAGGAGCAAATCCCAGGCAAATGCCAACTGCAAGGCTTCAAAGGTAACTGTTTTGGAATTTAAGCTTTTCCCTTCCCAAGTCCTCCCTCATGTAATCGAACTATGCCTTTCTGTATGTGCATAATAGTTGATCCTTTTCACTTAAATTGCATTTCTAGTTTTGTTTTGGGGAAAAAAAGAGAGAGGAAGAAAGAAGAAAATAGGTTCAAACAGATAATTAACAAAATAATTTGTGCATCTGCGGCATGACCTTCCTAGACACAGGACTCATTCTAGATTGGCTTCACACATCATCAAAATCTAACGACCAAGCAGAGTAAGGCTGTATGTAATTTACTAATTCTGCACCTGAACACGAGACCACAAATTTATTTTACTTCCCTCTTTCCTGTTTCACACATGAGAATTTCACTATGCAATGGAGCACCGATTGAAGCTGAAAGTAGCCATGTCCTCCTATGGAAGGCAGATTCCACTAACACTACAATGATATCTTTTCCCACGTGCACAGGAAAAGAAGACAACATGATTTTTCCAAAAGAAATCCTTAACAGCAGAGAGAACAGAAGGTTCATCTGACATACTTACAGCAGAATCTTCCAAATTTTGTTTTAATCATCACAGCAGAAAAGAACTTCACTTAGATGTCCAGGGATAATTAGTTATGAGGGCAATGTTTTTTATATTTATCACTATACAGCACACCTTTGTAGGTGCAGAACAAAATGCATACTCACTGCACGTGGGCTCACATTAGTACCACACTCAGGGGGAAAGACAAGGGAGAGAGATGGAAGAAAGCTCATATGAGAGGAAATCACAGACCTATTACAATGGTCAGGAAGAATGGTGACAGCTGTCCTGCTCTTTTTGCATTCCACTTCCACAATAATAAGAACCAGAGAGAAAAAGAAACAAAAACAAAAGAAAAGGAACAGGCAAACAACAAAATCTCAGAGATATAAAGCGTTTGCCACAGAGAACAAGGAATCAGAGACATCTGTGCTATGGAACAACAGCTCTGTGTCTGGGAAACCAGTAAGACCCGAGTTTGGGTCTACATGGGATCATTTCTTCAAGTGAATCAGGGCTTTTCCTGAAAACAAAGAAATCACGGAATGCAGCTTAGGGAAGCAGGACAGGAGGCTGGAGGGAACAGTGTGGGAAACAAACAGCCTCCCTTAAAGCCCAGACTGTATCAACACTGCAATCAGAGGTGCAGTTGGCACTCACTTATCTGCCTTATAATCAGCACCGATCCCCCAGCACACACACCCACCGAACCAGGCAGCCTTGCACAGCCTCCGGCTGTGGCTTCAGCCCTCCACAGTAATTCCCTTCATCACAATTCCCCGGTCCTCTAACCCCTGCACTATTAAGAGTAAGGTGGAGTATTCCTGACACGCTGCCACCTCCCGTCAAGATAAAGATATGATTTGGGAGGTCCCCCAACAGCCTGGAGATACAGCCCTCTTCCCTCTGGTTCTGTGCAGGCTGAGGTACAACCACAGAACATAAGGAAGAGCCTATTTTGTACAGCTTCCATGGGGCAGGATTTTAGAATTGTTCCTTAACAGATGTAGAGTTCTGTGAGGATCTGCTAAGGAGTGGACTGTGCCTCCTGTGCTGGTAAAACCACATCTACTCATTATTGCCCATACACCACATGGAGGGTTAGAGAGATTAATGATTTCAGACAAGATGCAGATGATACAGCTATGCAATGTCCAAGCCCCTTTCATGCTTGCTTCTCCTGCTGCATTTCCTGTCTCCATGGGACACTGTGCTGTTGTGTGACTGTGATATGCAGAAATGCCATGGCAAAGCAGACAACAGCACTTCCTGAGTTAGAGAGAGGAAAGAAAAGAGGGTCACCACTTCATGTCTTAGTCACAGAACCTCCAGGCTCCTTCAGAGAAGATGTCAGATGCATTCTGCCCATCCCTGCTGACCAACCTCCTGCAAACTAATGAACACACAGCATTTTTCTGAAAGAGAAGCCCTGTTGCACCTTGATACACATTTGAAGGTGTATGACAGCTTTCATGGCTGCTGTTTACCTACACATCTGCTGTTCAATCCACATCAAAACCGTTGCTGTGAAATATGCTGGGATATCCCAGATATGAAAAGTATTCTACAAACCCATTTCCTATGCGGATTCAAATGTAATTGCATTGAAATGTTATTAGTAGTGTGCTTGCTGCTGCCAACATCTTCACTTCTCTTTTAAAGGTAATTAATTAATGCTTTGTTGCTTTTTGTCTGCATTAAAGTGACAGGAGGGTTATGGGAGGGCGATTGGTTTTGACAAGGAGAAGTCTGTACCCTTTCTACCGTGCAGTGCAGGGGAGGGAGATACACAGTGGGAGCTAATATCACTCCTGCCTTCATTTAAACACAATGTTTAAATGCATTTAAGTGACGAAGGCATTTAACAACTCTTCCCAGAGGGTTTTTCTTGCTGTTTGCACATGAGTTTGCCAAGTTTAATACCGTTTTATGGAATTGTAAAAATGCTGCTTCCTAATGTCTCCTAGTCACTGCAGGCAACTGTCTCATGACATCATCTCTGAAACAACAAAACATGCTCAGATCCACTGCACATGCACAGTCAGAGAGATTTCTGCAGGCTAAGATGTTGTAATGGAAGGAGAGGGAGAATTCCTTTATCATGGTTTTACATAAAAATATTTCCAAATATTAAACTTGTACACTGAAGAAGCATCGAGGAGCCTCTCACAGATGAGAGACCCACTGTGATACAGAGCTGCACAAGCTCATCAGAAAAAGAGGTCTCCTCCCACAAAGAGCTTACGTCTGAATTCTAAGGCAGGGAACAACAGATGGAGACAGACAGGCAGATGGAAAACAAGACAGCGCTGTCTGCATCCTCGGCACTGATCTCAGCAGAGTGGTTGCCAAGCTAAAAAGTTCTGACCTGAAGAAAAACTTTCTCAAAGTCTGTGGATATAGATGAGGGCTTCTGGGCTTGAGCTCATGTCAAATTTCAAACTTCCCTGTCCAGAAAGAGAACAGCCTCAAACCCATCTGTGCACCCACACCTCAAATGAATCTTCTTCATCCAGAAGATCCCCTAGTCTGAGCTTTAAACCTACTGTGTCATGTCAAGACACAGGCTTTTCCTGGCCACAGGGCTCAGGCTGGAAGTGCAAACAGCACTGGAAAAACCATTACCTGTTTCAGCAGTAAGAGCTGCATTAAAGCAGCCTCCAGGGACCTTGACAAGGCCAAGTGTCACTGTCCTATGTGCACGGGTCATGAAGAGGCCCTCAGCAGCCTAAATACATCAACTGGACAATTACCTCCATTCTACAGGTTGTAAAGTGAGAAAGTTTAAATGATGGAATAGACAGCTTACCGTAAGACCTTCTACAGAAATGAACCACGTGAGTTTTCCCTCCCTCATTTTTGCAACATTCTTTAGATTCTGCAAGCCATCATTAGCATACATCAGATCCAAGAAAAAAGAAAATCAGAAAGNCAAGAAAGCTCTAGTATTTGTTTGGTTTAAAAAGGTGCCATGTCTGGTAACTGAAGAGAGCATGGAAAAGCCATGGGCAGAGTGCTGACACCACTGTTTCAGGTGAACTAAAAAAAAAAAAAAAAGAAAAAAAAAAAAAAAAAAAAAAAAAAAAAGTATGTGCAAGAAAGCTCTAGTATTTGTTTGGTTTAAAAAGGTGCCATGTCTGGTAACTGAAGAGAGCATGGAAAAGCCATGGGCAGAGTGCTGACACCACTATTTCAGGTGAACTAAATTTTTCTTAGTTCTTATTTTTTTTCTCAGCTATTCAACAAACTGTTGAACCCCCTCAGGTCCTACTGAAGTCATATAAATCCAGAGGTGAACATGGCCCATAAAACAGAATTAGAGAAAACAAAACAAATAAAGAAAAAGTGTTTTTTTTCATGGTGACAGGCTTATATATCAGTTCATATCATCCTTGAGTACTTCTCAGGAGTAATGACGGGATTATGAATGTAGGACTTCCCTTACCACCCACCTGGGGAAATGCTGATCCTGAGAAATGTATCCAAGCATAATTTCCTTGTTTATTATGTTTATTATTTCCTTAGTTTGATCAGGATATCATAGTATAAAAAAAATTTTTACTTAGGCTTCATAAAATGCTCCTAAGGCTACACAAAGAGCAAGGTCACTTTTAAAAGCCATCCATCTTCCTTACACCCAAACCACCAGACAGGCATGTACTTTTCTCATAGACCTCCTGTTTCACTGTCAGGACTGCAGTTTTTAATCAAGACACAGAAGTATTCTCACATCAACAGGTCACAAGGTCAGAAGCAGCCTCTTAGCTTGCTGTGAAGAAGGAGTGGGGATTATGAGACACAGAAGCTCTTGCTCACAGGTGCTTACTTATCAGTATCATCATTTTTGTTTCTACTTCAGAGAAAAGCCAAGATGCCAAGAAGGAACAAATGAAAGCTTGCTTGTCAAGAAGGTATTACAAGGGATTGCCTGTAGCACTTGGATAGCAAACTGAATATAGTTGCTAGCTGGGTATTTTTTTTGCTGATCACCTGCAGGTATCTCTTTAACACAGCAAGTTGCTGGACTGAATGTCTTATTTCAAACAGATGTTAGCCATTGTACAAAAAAAGTTCCGGGTTGGTACACATAAATGCAATTCTATGAGCAGCAAAGGGTAAAAAAAATTAAAATTAGATGTCTTTCTGTTCTCTGTCCCTTTCTCTCACGTGTGTGAAACCTGCTTTCAAACTCCAGACTCACTCTTCTAGTGGTCTCTTCACAGAGCACTAGAATACCAGAATCAACAATGAATGTATGCAAGCAAAAATTTTAAAAAGTTACTTACATATACCATATGTGTTTCTGAATATGTTCTAGCTGTAAAGGAAGAAGAAAACAAAGAATTAGTGCTGTAAAATAGAAAAGGTAACTGCACAAGTCGTCCTTTTTTGTGGCTTATTCAAGTAAATCCAAAATTTCAGAGACATATGCATACAACAGGAACTTTATACTGCATAAAGAGCTGCTCATCCTAACCCATCCCACTGGAAATGACACTTTAATTCCAGACATAATGCATCAGTTAGGAGCAAATCCCAGGCAAATGCCAACTGCAAGGCTTCAAAGGTAACTGTTTTGGAATTTAAGCTTTTCCCTTCCCAAGTCCTCCCTCATGTAATCGAACTATGCCTTTCTGTATGTGCATAATAGTTGATCCTTTTCACTTAAATTGCATTTCTAGTTTTGTTTTGGGGAAAAAAAGAGAGAGGAAGAAAGAAGAAAATAGGTTCAAACAGATAATTAACAAAATAATTTGTGCATCTGCGGCATGACCTTCCTAGACACAGGACTCATTCTAGATTGGCTTCACACATCATCAAAATCTAACGACCAAGCAGAGTAAGGCTGTATGTAATTTACTAATTCTGCACCTGAACACGAGACCACAAATTTATTTTACTTCCCTCTTTCCTGTTTCACACATGAGAATTTCACTATGCAATGGAGCACCGATTGAAGCTGAAAGTAGCCATGTCCTCCTATGGAAGGCAGATTCCACTAACACTACAATGATATCTTTTCCCACATGCACAGGAAAAGAAGACAACATGATTTTTCCAAAAGAAATCCTTAACAGCAGAGAGAACAGAAGGTTCATCTGACACACTTACAGCAGAATCTTCCAAATTTTGTTTTAATCATCACAGCAGAAAAGAACTTCACTTAGATGTCCAGGGATAATTAGTTATGAGGGCAATGTTTTTTATATTTATCACTATACAGCACACCTTTGTAGGTGCAGAACAAAATGCATACTCACTGCACGTGGGCTCACATTAGTACCACACTCAGGGGGAAAGACAAGGGAGAGAGATGGAAGAAAGCTCATATGAGAGGAAATCACAGACCTATTACAATGGTCAGGAAGAATGGCAACAGCTGTCCTGCTCTTTTTGCATTCCACTTCCACAATAATAAGAACCAGAGAGAAAAAGAAACAAAAACAAAAGAAAAGGAACAGGCAAACAACAAAATCTCAGAGATATAAAGCGTTTGCCACAGAGAACAAGGAATCAGAGACATCTGTGCTATGGAACAACAGCTCTGTGTCTGGGAAACCAGTAAGACCCGAGTTTGGGTCTACATGGGATCATTTCTTCAAGTGAATCAGGGCTTTTCCTGAAAACAAAGAAATCACGGAATGCAGCTTAGGGAAGCAGGACAGGAGGCTGGAGGGAACAGTGTGGGAAACAAACAGCCTCCCTTAAAGCCCAGACTGTATCAACACTGCAATCAGAGGTGCAGTTGGCACTCACTTATCTGCCTTATAATCAGTACCAATCCCCCAGCACACACACCCACCGAACCAGGCAGCCTTGCACAGCCTCCGGCTGTGGCTTCAGCCCTCCACAGTAATTCCCTTCATCACAATTCCCCTGTCCTCTAACCCCTGCACTATTAAGAGTAAGGTGGAGTATTCCTGACACGCTGCCACCTCCCGTCAAGATAAAGATATGATTTGGGAGGTCCCCCAACAGCCTGGAGATACAGCCCTCTTCCCTCTGGTTCTGTGCAGGCTGAGGTACAACCACAGAACATAAGGAAGAGCCTATTTTGTACAGCTTCCATGGGGCAGGATTTTAGAATTGTTCCTTAACAGATGTAGAGTTCTGTGAGGATCTGCTAAGGGGTGGACTGTGCCTCCTGTGCTGGTAAAACCACATCTACTCATTATTGCCCATACACCACATGGAGGGTTAGAGAGATTAATGATTTCAGACAAGATGCAGATGATACAGCTATGCAATGTCCAAGCCCCTTTCATGCTTGCTTCTCCTGCTGCATTTCCTGTCTCCATGGGACACTGTGCTGTTGTGTGACTGTGATATGCAGAAATGCCATGGCAAAGCAGACAACAGCACTTCCTGAGTTAGAGAGAGGAAAGAAAAGAGGGTCACCACTTCATGTCTTAGTCACAGAACCTCCAGGCTCCTTCAGAGAAGATGTCAAATGCATTCTGCCCATCCCTGCTGACCAACCTCCTGCAAACTAATGAACACACAGCATTTTTCTGAAAGAGAAGCCCTGTTGCACCTTGATACACATTTGAAGGTGTATGACAGCTTTCATGGCTGCTGTTTACCTACACATCTGCTGTTCAATCCACATCAAAACCGTTGCTGTGAAATATGCTGGGATATCCCAGATATGAAAAGTATTCTACAAACCCATTTCCTATGCGGATTCAAATGTAATTGCATTGAAATGTTATTAGTAGTGTGCTTGCTGCTGCCAACATCTTCACTTCTCTTTTAAAGGTAATTAATTAATGCTTTGTTGCTTTTTGTCTGCATTAAAGTGACAGGAGGGTTATGGGAGGGCGATTGGTTTTGACAAGGAGAAGTCTGTACCCTTTCTACCGTGCAGTGCAGGGGAGGGAGATACACAGTGGGAGCTAATATCACTCCTGCCTTCATTTAAACACAATGTTTAAATGCATTTAAGTGACGAAGGCATTTAACAACTCTTCCCAGAGGGTTTTTCTTGCTGTTTGCACATGAGTTTGCCAAGTTTAATACCGTTTTATGGAATTGTAAAAATGCTGCTTCCTAATGTCTCCTAGTCACTGCAGGCAACTGTCTCATGACATCATCTCTGAAACAACAAAACATGCTCAGATCCACTGCACATGCACAGTCAGAGAGATTTCTGCAGGCTAAGATGTTGTAATGGAAGGAGAGGGAGAATTCCTTTATCATGGTTTTACATAAAAATATTTCCAAATATTAAACTTGTACACTGAAGAAGCATCGAGGAGCCTCTCACAGATGAGAGACCCACTGTGATACAGAGCTGCACAAGCTCATCAGAAAAAGAGGTCTCCTCCCACAAAGAGCTTACGTCTGAATTCTAAGGCAGGGAACAACAGATGGAGACAGACAGGCAGATGGAAAACAAGACAGCGCTGTCTGCATCCTCGGCACTGATCTCAGCAGAGTGGTTGCCAAGCTAAAAAGTTCTGACCTGAAGAAAAACTTTCTCAAAGTCTGTGGATATAGATGAGGGCTTCTGGGCTTGAGCTCATGTCAAATTTCAAACTTCCCTGTCCAGAAAGAGAACAGCCTCAAACCCATCTGTGCACCCACACCTCAAATGAATCTTCTTCATCCAGAAGATCCCCTAGTCTGAGCTTTAAACCTACTGTGTCATGTCAAGACACAGGCTTTTCCTGGCCACAGGGCTCAGGCTGGAAGTGCAAACAGCACTGGAAAAACCATTACCTGTTTCAGCAGTAGGAGCTGCATTAAAGCAGCCTCCAGGGACCTTGACAAGGCCAAGTGTCACTGTCCTATGTGCACGGGTCATGAAGAGGCCCTCAGCAGCCTAAATACATCAACTGGACAATTACCTCCATTCTACAGGTTGTAAAGTGAGAAAGTTTAAATGATGGAATAGACAGCTTACCGTAAGACCTTCTACAGAAATGAACCACGTGAGTTTTCCCTCCCTCATTTTTGCAACATTCTTTAGATTCTGCAAGCCATCATTAGCATACATCAGATCCAAGAAAAAAGAAAATCAGAAAGCAGAGAGGAGATTCTGAAAATATGTGTAATTCAAGGCATTTTTAGGTAATATTCAGAGATAGGTATTTCCACCTATGTGGACACCCAACATGGAAGACAAATCATTCTACTCTAGTGTAGGACGTCAGTGCTAGAATAGTAACAGCTTTATTGGAATAGCTTATTCTGCAGTATCTGCTCTGATCCACCTTGCTCTAGAAACTAAGTTTCCATAGTGCTCATCTATCTTTACAAGAAAAGTGCTTCTGCCCTTTGTCTGTTTGGAGAAGAAAATACTGGCTGAGAAAGCAACTGGTTTCTACTACAGGAGCTGTAATTCTCTGCTGTAGCAACACGGAATCATTAGAAGAGCACATAACTAAAAGAAACCTCAACCTGCAGTACTTGAGGCACCCAGGGCACACCTCCCATAAGCCTTCTCAAACTTTATTACTACTTCACATTTCCCTCCTGACATTATTCCTACTAGAAGGCTGTCCCAGAACCCCACTGATATGCCTAAAATTCTTCTAGTTTCTAGCCTACTTTCCTGTAAGGCCATTTGACATATATTTGTTTTTGTGCCAGGATCTTCCTTTAGCTTAAATAATCCTTCTCTTCCTAGTAATTACCTCTAATGAATATGCATACGACCAGTACAACCTTTCTTAGCCACCATCTGTGTACATTAACCGAAGCTCTTTTAAGTCATCTGAAGATATTCAGACAGAATCTTTCAAATGCTGATCATCTTAGTATTCATTCTTTGTTTGATTTCACCTTTCATAATATGGGTCAGAAATATGATCACCTGGAGCTAGCATCAACTTTTAATGAAAAGTTTATGTTTAATGAACGAAAAACATGAATTCTTTTATTTTACAGCATGTTTAGTAAAACAGGCCCGGTAAATGAGAGTGGTCAAGGATGTCCCACTAACTGTATTTGAGGCCCTGTAACACATGGTGAGTGTGAACAATACTCCATGAAGACATAATAAAGCCTTGCTCCCACAAATTAATCATATACAAAGAAAGGTAATGCCTATTTCTTAAGGCTGTAAAGGGCCAGCAATAATAATTCTGAGTACCCTCCCCTCCATTAATCTTCTCAAGCTCCAACACTGAAGCAAATGATGACAGCTAAACGTGAATGCTGGTTCTGTTTTTGTTGATCATTTTAACAGATGGACTGGGGAAGGTGTGGGTGTGCTGTGAAATGGCAATTACTGCAGGGAGGGAAATGCAGTTGGATGAAAAGGAAAAGAGATACAAATCAAAAGAAGAGGAACAAAGCAGAGAGGGGAAGTGAAAAATGAAAGAAAAAAATTCTAGTGACCTTACATTTCACTATATTTTTCTGCTGAATTCACTAGTGAGGTATTGAGCAAATGATCAGTAATGGTAACAGCAACATCTGTACTTATTGTACCCAAGCTGCAATTTTGCTCACATCTTTGTATAAATATCAAATTGATTCAAGTGAGTAGGAATAGAGACTTCCAAATAAACTCATATTTATACCCTTTTTCACAGGACACAGCTAAAATAGAATTCAGCTCTCTCCTCAGAATGAACTCTGCATTCCCAGCTCCTGTGCAGTAAACAAAGAGCTCCCTTCTGCCTGGCAATCAAAGCAAGCAGCTCACTAACAGCACAGGAGTGTGACAGCACCAGGGACAGCAAACCCAGAGACCCTCAAATAATGAAAATAAAACTGCAGCTAATAACGAAGAGCCATCCTTTTTTCCTCCCAGCTCTCAGCTCTTTAATATGTATTATTTCAAATCCTTATTCATAATTCAATGGTTAGTGCTTGCCAATAACTACCTGATCTGGGCTTTTTTTCCCTCCCTAAGGGAGCAAGAGGTTAATTTTGATCAAGAAAGGGACAGGGACGGGTGTCACTCTCAGATCTTGAATTACCTCAACTGCTTTCTCTCCTGTGCATGTACATTCCCAGCTGTATTGCACAACTGAAAACATTTAGGGCCTCTCTCTGCCCTGTGGAAAAACCCAGAAAATTCTGAAGAAGGATCTAAGACTCGATGATCTGCTCCCTAACATACTTATACCATCAGCACTAATATATTTGAGAAAAAAACCCCAACAAAACAATAGAGAAGCTGGTATGTTTACATCACAGAAAGGAAGCTAAGCTTGAGAGGGACTTGTTGACTTTCTTGGCCATGAAGAGCAGCTGTCTCATGTCTCAGGATATTGCCTTAACCCCTGCAGTGTTCTTTCCATTAATACACTAGTGAAAATGTTATTTTTTCTTTAAAAGTCTATTTTAAAAAGGCCTTTTAAAGTTGCCTGTTTTTTTTCTGTCAGTGCTATTTATGTACTGCAAAATGTGATGGCTACTGGGTTTGCAAGAGCAGAGATACTAGACATAACATGAAGAACTTTTCCCCTATGCCACCAAATAGAGCGTGACCTGGATTGGTAATGAATGAAAGAAAAACCCAGCTGTCAGGTAATATTGTAAAGAGTTGTGAAGGGAGCTTCAGTTAACTTCTTAGCAGAGAGGTATCTGCATCCCAAAAGCACCGTCACAGCTGGCACAGACTGATGCTGCTGTTACCAATCTCAGCAGAGGCCAACCAGTGATCTGAGAGTTTATTTATAAATATTTTAGCAGACTGAAGAACCAGGAGGAGTTTTAAATTTACATTTCTTTATACATACTCCCACTCAGAATCTGTGAGCTTAGTAAATCTGTATAAAATCATCACCACGGCCTGACAATAGGATTTACAAGGGCAATGTACCCATAAAGGCATACGCCTCCACTGACAAGCAGGCAATCTTACTTTCCAAAATTATTTTAATTGCCAGTGTTTTTTTATTCCCTAAAACATTAACAAAGTGTTCGTGAAGGATACAATCACTACACAGTCCTCACGGGATGTATCCTAGATGCACTCAGTGCTGAATGCCAGGAGCTCAACACTGTGGGAACAACAGTGCTCAGGACCACAGGGCACAGGATGAAAGAGCAGGCTGGCAGACACTTGCTCTGAAGGCTGCTAGAGGATAATGCAGAGCTAATGCAGGATAGAATACAATGCAGCTTATGGGGCCTGAAGCGAGAAGCCAACACTTCTGTCAGAAATGTAAGAAAATCACACTCTGTTTAATGGCAAAGCTTCAAATACCAGTCCTAAAACCTGTGACCTTCAAACACCTACATCATACCCCCAGCCAACTGCTGTATCAGACAGGAGAATCAGACAACTCAGGTGGACTCCAAAACGTGCGAATGGGCCAGCAGTTCTGTGATGAGCTATGAGTGATTTCTCTTAAATGCCCAGTGTTACACATGAAAGGGCATCAGGAGGCTACACAAAAAACACAAAGGCAATCTGTCCTCATGACTCAAAAGAGATGGTAACTAATTTCTTCCCAAAGACTCCACCAACTCAACTCCTTTTTTGCTCAGGAGGAAACACACACAGGAATGCCACTAAATCACCAAGTTACCTCAGCTGCTCAACCACTCCTGCAACAAGGCGAGAAATGAAGCCTGGCTCACGGTGCCTCCTTACCGTGAGACGTTTCGAGGCATCCACTTCAATCATCCCCCGCAAAAGGTTCTGACAGTCGGGGGGGATAAAATGGGGCATGTGGAACACTCCACGCTTCACCTTCTCCAGCAGCTGCCGCAAGTTGTCGTCATCGAAAGGCAGGGCACCCTGCAGGGATGGGACAGAGCAGTCAGTGGGAGAGAACTGGAGAGGGCCAAAGGAGAAAAGACAGAAAAACATGGTGAGACAATCGAAAAGTGGAAGTCAGCTCATAATTAATTAGTATAATGAGTGAAAAAAACCTTTCTATCCATTGAAAAGTAATAATTTCTGCTGTATTTCCTCTAACATAGAAAACAAAACTGAGGACATTGTTTATTTTTTTTATTAGACCTTTAATTAGAAAATGCTTACCAGTATAAACTAAAATACAAAATATGAAATTGCCTTTCCAGGCAAATTCACCAAAGATGCATGGATTCACTTAAATTCAACTCAAGCTTTTGATCTTCTGGTATTCCTCCTGGGCATACTTTCACAGCAGCAATGTTTATCATCTCCTTATTTTTAATCTTCCTGAGACACGTTTATTGCAGACAGTGAAAAGGAGGTGAACAGCTTTTGAGAGACTTTCAGTAAAGAACATGCTCTTTCTGATGGAGCATTGAAATGACACAGCTGAAAGAAACCCCAACCAACATCAGCCTTTGGAAGCAGCAGACATTCTACCTGTTTAATATACTCCATCCAGTTCCCATGCTGTGGTCAGGTCATCATTTCCTATTGCTTCCCTACTGTAGCTCACTTACATGAATGGCTTGAAGTTTTTTTAGCTGAAACTACATTTTGAATAGATCATCAGCTTGCCACAAAAAGCAGAAAAAGACCTATCCTTGCTGCAAGGACAAAAAGGAAAAAGAGAAGTTGAAATCTTTAGGATAACTCCACCGACTGAAGCTGATACCCTTTTATAGCAAGTCTGCACCTTCCTAGATATTCTCACTTCCTTCTTTCACTGCCTAATTCTAGTAGGTGCTGAGCTTCCTTGATTTCCAGGATGGTCTGTGGGAAGCTGCAAGCTGTCAGCTGCTGTGATAATGAAGCTTTAAGTTGTCAGCTCTGGCACTGCTCTTACTACAGTGAGTAGTGCATCTGTATAAGCAATCCTATGTCAATGGTTTAGGGAGAACAACAGCTCCATTTACAGCAGCCTCAGGAAGACACCTGATGGCAGCCACGACTGGGCACTGCTGACTGGTGTTGGTCCATTCAAGTGGCCTTGAAGGAACAGCCTCTCCCTGCCTGCTGTAAAAAACCTCCTGAGTTACCTGTGCTTTTCCTACCCATTCCAGACTTACAGGAAAATCAATTCTGATAGCTCAGTACTTTGACTAAAGCAATTTCAGCCCTGATGAAGCCAGAAAGGACGCTGTGTGGCATTTCCTGAAGGTAACAACTACACTTCTTTTATTAGTATCATCTGCTATCATATCTTAATAGTTTTTGCAGTTTTTTCATCCTGACATAATTAACTGGCGAGCTCTACACTCTTCATCAATAATAGACTTGTTTCAATCATTTTTCAAGCTCAAGTGTGTTTGTGTAGGAACAGATGAAGATGCAGCAACAGACACCAAAGCTTGACAGAGAATCCCCCTGAAAATGAAAAGCCTGCTCCTACAAATCCTAACCATCTTGACACATTCTCTCTTCTGTTCTTACAAATTCAAGTAGTTATATTAAGAGCTCATTATACACTTCTATTCTATCAGCTATGAAAGTAACTGCTCAGTGAGAGATGACCAGGTGCTATCTAGTGTGACAGTTAAAATTCTTCCAATGCAACATCAAGATAAAAAAAATAAAACTTCAAAAATGTCAGTGAATTGTAATGGCTAAAAAGAAAAAATGAGTAAGATTGGTTAAGGGGAATTAAAGCATCATACTGAGATTGCTTCAAGGTATTTTGATTTGAGCCATTTAAAAAGAATCAGCATATCTTTTGAAACAAAAATCCTCTAATATTTTAAAGTATTTTAAACAAAAATAATGCGCAGAATTTACCTCATTTAACACTGTACAAGTGTGTTTTTTAAAATAAAACATTTAAGTGAAGCAATTAGGTTTACTGATAAATGTACAAGAATATAAAAATTTTACTTCAGGCTTGTTATTTCTGTAATTATAGATGATCAGCTGAACTATTACAATTATAAAGCACTTAATATGCACATAAAACCTATATTCATGTAGAGTATTTTAGCTTCATGTGGTATATGCTTGTATTAACATAAACTTTATTTGTATACATTATACTATGGAAACTGGTAACAAATGCCAAGCCTATCTGCCTTCAGCTGGACACCCAGTTGTTGGATGTTTAGGAGTGTTATAATAGAAGTTAATTTCAGAATAAATTCCACAGAGAATTGAAACTGATCAAAAGAAGGATAAGTTAGAAGATACCACATTTTGAACACTTAAAGTATTACTGAGCCAGATGGAAACTAATTTAAACTTTGTACTACTGGCTCAGTTTTATATTCCCATGTGTACCAAATTAAAATGTAGCTCACTGCTTGCATGAAACAAAGATAAGGTTCTCAGATCTTCTCTGGAAAAAATACTGCAGTCAATGTATGCATATACCTGCTGAAGTACATATATATATATATAAGCAGAAAAAAGTGAACACATTCCAAAGCCATCCATATTTTGATCCCAGGAAGGACGACTTGATTTGACACTCTCTGTATCCTGGAGTTGTAACCCTACACATCCTTACCCATCAAAAAGCATGGTGCAACATCACAACACAGCAAAGAGCATTTATGGAGACAAGCTTTTGATGCTTGTCTGTGCTCTCCTGTGCAGGGCAGCAGTGTTTCAAAGAGGCAGTGAAATATTCCTCATGCTTTTCCTTTGGGGCTGATGTAGAAATAAGACGAAAGGATGCCACTGAGAGATACAAAAATAGAGGACTAAAAAAACCCATCTGTACATGATGTCAATAGAATTGCCATTAAATACAGCAGCACTTTCAGATTTTTCTTTTCTTTTTAAAGGCTAGTGCAAGGAAGATGACTCACCACTAGCAACGCAAACAAAATGACTCCACAGCTCCAGACGTCTGCTTTCCTTCCATCATATTTTTCTCCCTGCGCAGCAATGACACAGAGGTTCAAAAGACCAATCGCTAGGAAATGAATTAATTATCCTTGAAGAACGAGAGAGGGGAGAATGGGAAGCCCCACGTTTCAATCCAGCTACCTGCTTCCCAAGGTGGCCTTCCCAACTAGGAGGAAGCCACTACATAGCAGGCTAATTGAATTTTTGTAAACATCAGCTTGCAGTCTTATCTGGGATCTGTGAGGAAAGGCTCAGAAGCAGGAGAGAAGGGCAGGAGTGGTTGACAACTCACAAATTATCAGATCTGGCACTTAAACAGAGTAACAGGTGCATTAAGGACATCAAGAAGGTGTGTTTCTCTGCCCTGGTTCTTGAGGGAGCTTGTCACTAGCCATGTTATTTGCAAACTGATAGTGCTGTCTGGACAGTCTCTCCTGAGTGCTTCCTGCTTGACTTCACACTAGAGACATGCTTTGGAAGACAGCAATCCAATCTTGGGCACTGAAATCTTGGATACTTATTTTCAGAGGACAAAGGGAAAGCAGAGGGGAAGAATATTGTTTAGTGGAAATCAACATCACTGACAGGCAACCCCAGCTCTTCTACTGAGATGACAGCTACATCAGAGACAGGAAAGCTGAGGGGACTACATCCCTTGGGTCAAAAGATCAAATTAAGCCAGGCTCCTGTACTTCTGTCTGATCACATGATGTGAAGGATAATGTGAGAATAACACACAATTATTTCACAATGTGGTTTGATTCAGGGCTGAGCCAAACACAAAACTCTCTTTAGGTTCCTTGAGTTCTTTTCTTTCCCTCTGCATGGGGCAGATTTCTTGTACAGAGGATCTGTCTGCATGCTTGCAACAAGGGAGACTTCAGAAAAGGTATTTATGTACACTAATATTAACCAACTTACCCGGATGACTTCAGGACAAGCATAATGTGGTGATCTGAAAGACAAAATACAGTCAAATGAGCACGTAACAGCCTGGTATTTATGGTTATGTGCATTTCCATTTTGCTTAGCAGAATAATGACAGACTTTCTTATACAGAATACAAGTGTGCAAATCAGCACGTTTTTCCTTACCTCAACAAGAATACATTTCTAACAAGCTCAGAAAATGGTCAAGCCTTAGCATAATTTAAAACTCTATGGCCCTGCTATGAATTTCTTCAAAGCAAGGAATGAAGGGAAGATGAGGCATACTCTGTGAAGATAGAATTCCAGCTCTCTAATCCCACTCTTTAACTTGGCCTTGTATCTAATTAAAAAGAAGGCCCACACTGCAAAGCCTTTTACAGGAAAAAGGACAGATGTATCCCTAAACCATGCCTGGTATCTGTTCTGCTAAGATGACTCTCATTTACACCAGTGGTCACAAAAGCTGCCAATACATGATTGCAACATGCCCTTTTTTTTGCTTTAAAAAAACAAAAAAGGATGGACAGTAGCACCATTACCTGGTGAGTTAATATATTCTTTTCACATCCTTCTACCCATATATCTCTTGTTTGATTCCTGGCTGAGAAGAGTTAATTACTTCAACTTGCCAGGTAATAATTTTAATTCCTAAAGATTATAGCCATGGCTATTTATTTTATAGCCTTCATTAAAGTGACTTGACAAGTAAAAGGGATGCAAACTGTCTGAAACCTGTGTGCAAATCATGCTATTGTTTATACTGACACCTCCCAGCAGTCCCTGAGCCTGTCTTCATTTGTGCATGTGTTTCTTGTGACAAATGCAATCATGGCTGGGCAATACCTGTCTCACAAAGTAATGAGCAAACCAGAAGCACAGCAAGGTTAGCTTTGTGTTAGGATGCTATATTAATGCCCAGTGAGACAGACCATTAATTCAATTTCCATACACACTACACTTATCTTGTGGCAAAATATCATCCCATGGGCATGGAATGCCCTGATTTGGTATCACAGCTTTTGGCAGAGCATGACAATAAACTCAAGGTACACCTGGGAGTGCAGCTACCTTGACAGCAAAGCTTCCATGAGGAGAGAGAAATGCAGCTGATCCCTCAAAAATTTCAGGAAAAGTGGAATTCAGCAGCTTAATCTAATATTTAATACAACACCAAGCCTAGGCCATTTAAGAGATGGGCTATTCACAGCTATTCTAACCAATCTGTCTGCTCAGTAGTGCCTTAGTTTAGACTACATTTTAAAAACCTCAGTTCAAGAGTCAAAACAGATATGAAAGGCAGAGGCTCCCTCAGAGAGCTGGCTAGAGTTGCTCATTGGATGACCAGCAAGAATGGTCTTGTGTCTAGTGGGTAGGACAGACTACCCAGGCTCTCTGTCGCTGACAGCCACGGAAACATGGACAAGGTTACTTAACATTTTTAAAAGCTGCAGCTGGCCTGTTTGAAGAAGGTGACCAGAAGCTCACCATGAGTCTACTCTTCTGACCAAAGCAAGAGCAATGCCACCACAGAGAGAAAGTGAGGCCAGAGCGAGACACTGAATTGTTTAATGTTATGTACATGTTCCCAAACTTCCAAAATATCTTGTTTCCTGTGAATTTGCCTCTTTGTAGCAAACCAAGAGCTGCACTACACCTATTCTGTCCAAAACCCCGAAGTCTAAACCACAAAAAGTCACAACACTGGACTAACACATGATTTGGCAAGCTTTTAGGAGACAAATTATTCTTGAGAGGATGCTTGACTAGTGATGTCATCTTTTTCTTGTATCTAACAGTGGTGTAGAGTGTACAGGCCATCCCTAAGGCACACACAAAGCACAAGTAAGGAGCAGCACCACAACTGGGACTGCAGCCCAGGCCTGACAAGTACAACTCTCACTAGTGCTGGACTGCTTACATAGAACACTGAAGGAGGGCAGTGTAGTAATGCAACTGGAATTTGAAAAAAAACCCCGCATGGTAGCAAAACAGAACAGGACTTACACAGATCAAGGATATTTGCTCAGTTTAGTCACCTCAGAACAGAGAGGCCAGCTCTAACATGTTCTGCACAACTGAGTCACATCAGGTTTATTGGAAAATACATGGGGGGAGTAAAAGGAGTGCAGACACATTCTAGTAACTGTCAAGCTCCCCATCACTTACCATGTTTGAGTTTCTCACTCTCACGTGTATTTTAGGTTCTGCAATGTACAGCTGCCTCTCTGTGTGAGTCATGAACACACACAGTACATTAAATGGCTACTACAGGTGATGCCTGTGGCTAACCTAGAAACTTCAGCCAGACCTCTCAAATCCCACATGGTATCCTATACAGTTCAGCAATGTCCTTCACTACAATCCTTTTTGGATGGCAATGGCACTGGGGTGCACTTGAAGAGTTAGTATGTCAATTTGCAGAGTGTTCCTGAATTTTTATTTGTATATTATGACTCTGACAAGGATTTCGGAACTCCTAGTAGTGGGTGCTGAGCAGTACAACCACCTTGAAAGCTTCCTGTGCTAACATCCTTGAAAAGAAGAATGTAAGTGTTGTGAAGAACTCAAGATAGGTACACAGGTATTTATGTGTACCACTAGCAAATGCCCCTAAAGTGTTCTCCTTCTTGAGGTCTGCTGAACTGCAGCAGAATGTGCCCTAGATCTTAAAAGGCACCACTGAAATTCTGCAAAAGTCTAAGAGACTGGGTGGAGAAATGTTATAATAAATCCTTTGGATTGATTGGATCATTCAACAGCTACATTGCAACTGCCCAGAGAGCACAGGTTTCTGGCATTGCCATTCTGAATTCTTGCCAGCACACACTAGCTAGATATCTGCAGCATTATCTTGGCTAACAGCTTTAAAAGGGATCCTCCAGTCAGCCAGAATCCATAAAAAACTCATTTCCATGCTACCAATCACAGAGCAAATTCAACTGCTTTAAAGACAAAACTCAAATTTAATCAAAAATCTATTTATCTTTCTACAGAGTCATGAATATTTCTTTGGCTCTTATCACTAATTATTCAATATAGATGTCAAGAGCAACATTCCCTGTCTCTTCCCCTAGGCCACCTCCTCATCACTCTGCTACATCTCTGTGCAGCAAAAGCCCCAGTCTGCCCTTGATAACAAATAAATATATCGCTCAGCAAGATCAAGAAACAGTTGCTGCCTGCGGGTACCTCTGCAAAAAAGCACCAATGTTGGCAGTGTTTATTTCCAGGGTGATGTGGATTTTCCAAGGCTAGTCTGCCTGGGGCAGGAAGGGCTCTCTGAATGGTCATTCACAGCTGTGACTCCAGGACACAATAATCTTGAGGATCTTAGGGGACTTTAGAGCATTTACACGGGATTTAAACCAGAGGAAATAAGACAAGAGAGCAATGGTGAAATCCAGGACAGCTCTGGACAGTTAAGTCAGGCATTCAGAAAGAAATGTATATATCCTTGATGTAGCTTTTCTGAATTTCATCTGAGAAACTAGAAAATCAGTTCTTCATCTGTGCACATCAAGATATTGTGTAGCTGCAGTAGATCTGAGACAACCAGGGCCATATGTTCACTGCAGATGTGATGTGCCTGTAACTTACAGGTTTTTTTACATAGGTAAGAGAGACCTGTACTGCACACATACACATCCATTGGTTTAAACCATGTGGTTTATCTGGGAACACTCAGCAACTGCTTTGCCAGAGAAGCTGTTGGTTGATGAAGAAGGAAAAGGTGTTTGATTCTACTCTACAGTGTGGTAAACCATGTGTAACACTGCCTGATGGGTTCCCAAGTCCCAGTAAAGATAAGTGTCCATGCTCCAGTCCTTTGGTCCCATGCCTTAGGATGGCACTGTTTGGGGAAGAAGAAAAGCTTCGAGGGCCATCCTTCAGGCCTCAAAGGCAGAGTTTCTGCAGAGAGGGAGGAACAAGAAGTCTCTTTTCCTCTGTTTTTATTATGCAGGAAGTTACCTTGATATAGGATGTTGTACAGCTGCAGAGAGCTCCTCCCACATCTGGCTGGTTTTGCTGTTGCTCAGTTCTAGAGTCCTTTCCCCTCTCTTAATCACTGTCTCCAAGCTGGCTTTCAGAGGCAGGAGTTACCCACTAGAGCAAAAGGCTGCCTCTGCTTTTCCCCCACGCTGGGTAGCAAAGGGCTGAGATGAAGGGAAGACCAGAGGAGTAGCAAAATAGACAAAGGGAATTCAGGAGACACTGGCATTCCGAGTAGAGTAAGCGACAGCCACAGATCACACAGAAGAGAAAGGCAGGGAGACACAAATGAAAGATTGCAGCAGCAGTGGGTAGTTAAGGCTGCAGTGAAGGCAGGAGCTGCAGGTAAGGCTGTAATTAAGGCAGTAGGTGTAGTTAAGGCCGTGTGCTATATTGCCATCAAGGCTTCAGCTCAGTCATTTACCTTTGGATACTCAGCATTAGCCCTCAGCCATCTTACAGCTATTTACTCCTTGGGTGCAATTACATTTTTTTGGGAATTTGCAAATCAATTCATTTAATTATCAGTTCAAATTTTAAAATAATGGAACCTTTAAAAGGTTTTAATTTAAAAAAAAATGAACCAGACCCTTGTATTAAAAGGGCATAAAGATTGCCAAATTAGGTATCCAAAAGTTAAGAACTGGTAAAAAAAAAGGTTGAAGATGTCACACTGTACTCTGCAGATAAGTTAGGTGGATGTGTTGCTGTGCCCAATGCCTCCTTTCTACTTATGACTGAAGTTGGGAAGTCTGTAGCAATATGAGGGAACTTTTGTGTCAATAAGGACAAGCTTGCAAGCATGCAGCTGATTGACACATGGGAGAATCAAAAATCTCTGTCCCTGCCAGAGAATCCTTCTGTGAAAGAAAATGAACAGGTGCCTTAAACTGAGACATACACTGGTAATTATGAGTTGCATGTTCCCCAGTATTCAGAATCACAGTACTACACATCCAAGTTTGATTTCCAGCATTTAGAAGCATGTGGAGCAGCAGCTGCAGATGGTAGGCACTATGCTCTCCCAGTAAAGGAC